CGCACAGGGCAAGGTTTCTTTCTGCTGTACGTGGTGTCCTTGGGAGTGAACGCTGACTCAGTGGCACTAAGAACAGCCTGCCCTCCTGGCCGGGATGAGTCAGAACTGGCTCAGGGCTACCGCGTTTGGGCTAATGGGCTCTCGGCAGATCTGTGATTATCACCCAATTATGAGGATGCTGTCAATTCATCTGCGCGCACGCTAGCTACAAGCACGAACTGCTGCTTCTGTTGTCAACAGCGTACTTAGTCACCGACCTGGTCAGATTTTCTAGTGTTTTAGCTACAATATTGTGGTAATTAGTATTTCTGAACCTACAGCAATATTTTTTTTGGGGTGTGAATGAAGTAGTAATTAAAGGAAAAAAGAGAAAAACAAAAAGCTTCCACAGTTACAAGGGAGCTCTGATGGTTTGGTGTAAGGAGTCGCACTGCCAATCCAAAGGTGCTGGTTCAAATCCACCAGCTGCTCTGAGGAGGAAAGATGGGCTCTCTCCTCTCATGTAATTTATAACCTCTGACAACCTGCTGGAGGGTTACCTGTGACGAAGTTCCAACTTGATGGCAGTGAGCAAGTTTACTAATAATTCAGTATAGAAAGAGAATTACAAAAGGTTCATTGATAGCAATCATACAATCTAAGGAACACAACATTTACACAATCCACTATATTTATCATATATTATTTATTCTATGAATAAAATTGATAATAAACATGAAGGATTCTGTATAGTCTGGAATGGGAGGAAGTCTATTGACAGAAGGTGACACCAGGAGCTACCGTATGAGGTGACACAATCTGAGTGATGTCCCTGTGGACCTGCTCCTGAAATGTCCCGGCTTTGAAAACCCCTATGGAGCGTAAACCCCTATGGAGTGTAAACCCCTGTGGAGTGTAAACTCCTGTGGAGTGAACAGTTCTGCTCCACACATGGGCTGCCATGAGTTGACGTCAATGGCAACTAATTTTTTTTTTTTTATGGTAGAATGGTCCATTCTCTCAATGAGGCCTGGTTTGAGAACCCTGCTGCTAAGCTAGAATCTCCCAACTCCTCTAATCACACTGGGCAAGTCTGCTGTCAAGGACTTCATGAAAGTGCTAACGAGGAAGGATGTTAGCGTAAAGACTAAGGTGCGTCTGATCCAAGCCATGGGCTTTTCAATTGCTTCATATGCTTATGAAACTTGGACGACAAATAACGAAGACTGAAGAAGAATTTATGCCTTTGAATTGTGGTCTAGGTAAAAAGTATGAATTTATCATGGATTGTCCAAGGAACAAAAAACCTGTGTTAGAAGTATAGCCAGAGTGCTCCGTAGAAGTTAAATTTGTGAGACTTTGTCTCTCATGCTTTGAGCATGTTGTCGGGGGTGGGGGTGGGGGACAGTTTTTGGAAGGGAATCTTGTGCCTGAAAGGGTGGAGGGTTGGTGAAGGCGAGGAAGACCTGTCCTCAGTTGGATGGATTGACACAGTGAGTGAGCCAATGGGCTTGAACATGGCAGAGGCTGGGAGGATGATTCAGGACTGAGAAAAGGTTTTAATCTGTCATTCAGAGGGAATTGGCTCCACAGCACCGAACATTCACCGTCTCTACTCACCAATTCTGTGCCCAGCTCAGACACAATTAGTCCTTTTGAAGGGTCCGTGGCAGTGTTGATGAGGGGTGAGGGCAGTGCCACTGACTCACCGTGGGGAGAAAAGGCGGTAGGGGTTCCAATGGGGAGGGAGCCAATGTCAGAATTGGTCCTCTCTCCTTGTCTGGTAACCCCCGAGCGGTTTTATCCCACTGCTCTGAACTTTGGTTTAGGAGTCCCCTCTCTTATTTTTGAGGGTAAAAAAGAAAAACCCATTGAAGATTTTTTTTTTCAAGTACAGAGGAAACAAAGGATCAGGCAGTGTGTTGGGAAAGCGATCCACATTTACGACTTCTGAACGCAATTTATGCAGTTTAATATATGATAAAAAGCTTTTGCTCGTGGAGACCCTACCGATAATGCTGAGGTTCCTGCATATTATGGATGCGTCTATTCACTCAGCTGAGTGGAAGAAATTAACCAGAACCTGCTCCCGTCCGTCGCACTGAATAGCTCCGCATCTGGGCAGGCAACGTCCCATCTTAACGATCTCAACAATCCGCTTGTACTGACAGTGGTTTCTATTTCACCACATGCCCAGAAACAAGCCTGGCACAGCGACCGAGAAAGGATGCTTTAAAGAGAGAAGAGTGCACATCAGCTAATTACATTGACAAAATCCAGAGTAAAACACATTAAGAAACAATGGTCCAGTTCGGAAATGCTACGGTAGGGTCTCCAAGTGCATTAAGTGACTTGGCACTAGGTTCCTTTTTTTACGGAGGATGTGGTTTCCATAATATTCTGTTGAGTAGTAACCAAAGAGTGCCCAGTCATTCCAAGGGCACCAAGATGTGGAATCTGGAGTTTAATTCTTGCTATTCATTTATAGGGGGCAGTGGTGGAATCCTCACCATTGGTGCAGGAGACCCAGATTCTATTCTCAGTCAATGCACTTCTCGTGCAGTCGCCATCGGTCAGTAAAGGCTTGAGTGTTGCTATGATGCTGAACGTGTTTCATTGGAATAGCCAGACTAAGATAGAGTAGGAAGAAAGGCCTGGTAATCTGTGAAAACCAGCCAAGAAGCTTCCGTGGATCACAGCAGTGATCTGCACTGATCATGGGGACCAGGCGGTGTTTTATTCTGTTATTTGTGCATGAGGTCACGGTGGGGCTGGATCAATGTCAACCCACAACAGCAACAACAATGTACTGATGAGGAATGAACTGTCACAGGCCTGGTGACCTTGACTTTTCTACATGAGGCTGGGTCTCTCAGAAAGGATGCATGATCGGGTGTGGGGGAGCAGGGTGTAGAGATGAGGGTGGGTGAGAGATGTGGGTATGGGAATGATTTAGTAAGTCTCTCAGAGGAGAAAGGATTCTCCCAGGATCTATGTGGACTCAGTGCTACACTGGGCCTGGCACTGTCCCCTCGTCCCTCCACCAGGCTGAAGACAAAGGCAGTGACTCAGCTTTGTATTCCTCGAAACGTGCTCTGTCCTCTTCCCAGGGTGCACCTGCTGCCCCTGTGGCTTGTGTACCAAGGGTCTGATGGAATCGTCAGGAGAGGAGAGGAAAGCTGATACAGCACAAGGCCACCGTAAAGAACGCACAGAGCTGCTCTGCTGCTGAGAACCTCAAAACCAAAATGGTGCAATCTGGAGAACTGGGGCGGGTGCACGTCCTGGGGGAGCCATCACCCCTAGATCTCATGGGATTTTCCTTCCAGGAAAGCAAACCTCTGAAGGCTGTGTTGTGACTGCCGTGTTCCCTGCTCAGGTCCCTGGGTGATCACATGTTGACTACTTAACCTAACAGGGAGCCCCGGTGGCGTAGCCTGTAGGGAGCTGCACTGATAAGGCAAAGACCCACCGCTCTGCCTGTTCAAATCCACCAGCTGCTCCTTCGGATGAGCAATCTCCTGTTCAATTTACAATCTGGGAAACCCAGTGGGGAGTCAGCTCTGAGTTGGTTCCGACTCGATGGCCACAAGAATTTCACTCATCTAATGGAGCCCTGGTGGCACAGTGGTTAAGCACTGGGTTGCAAATTGCAAGGTCACTGGTTCAAGCCCATTAGCTGCTCCAGTGGAGAAAGAGGAAGCGATCTGCTTCTCAAAGGACTCTTAACCGAGGAAACCCAGTTCCAACTGCGCTACGGGGTCACTATGGGTTAGAATTAACTTGATGGAAACGAGTTTCATTTTTTTAGTATCACCCTAAATAAAAGCTAGAGTTTACGCAGTGGGTCCAAGGAAGAAAGGCCTGGTGATCTGCTGACATGGAGATTATAGCTCAGTAATCCCTATGGTTCTCAGGTCTGCTCTGTCACACGTCCGTCATCAGTTGGAAATAACTTGACAGTAACCGGTTTAGTCCCATGCTCAGGAAGCACATGGAGATTCACTGGCACTCCCTCCCTCAGGGTTCACGGCATCCTCAGGGGACACGCTGGACCGTCTTGTTTAGACTCAAAACGCACCAGGTAGCCCAAGTCCAGCTCTAAGTCCCAGGCAGCCTCTGCTGGAAGTCGCTTTTACTTGTGTTGTGGAGCCGTCTGTCTGCACAATCAGACCTGAGGGTCTTGGAGGGGAAACGGTGTCCTGGTGAGTTCCATGAGGACAGGGGCAGTGGCCCCAGAGCCTAAAAGAGTGTCGGGGAGTCTTAACTCAGATGGACAGACAGAAATTCGCTCATGGTCAGTCACTTCTTTGGGTTAAGGCATTAAAGACACCCCACTAGATATGAAACCAGGGGGGTCAGACATATTAAGACAGGATCAGCCATTAACACCTCTTTGTGACTCCAGAGTGGTTTCAGTCCTCAGGCTCCTTTGGAGACAGGGCTCAGGACAGCTGAGTACTGGTGGGAGGGGACAGGGCCAGCACTCACACTCACTGGGGCCCAGCGAGGGATGCAGCTTGCAGGTTGAGAAGTGTGGGTTGTGCAGAGGACATGGCAAGCCACAAGGACCAAGGGGTTCACAAGGACACTTCCACTGGACAGTTCAGACCCAGCCAGGCCACCGTAACAGTGTCACTTTTTGGCTCAATGACCCTGGTCACAAAAGAGGGGGGCCAGGCCAGTTGGAAAGCTCATAGGCCCCGCTGGGTCCGAGTGAGGGACTTGGGCCATTAAGCTGGGTGTGCAGGGGGAACAGGGAACTGGAACACCTATTCTATGGGTGCAGGAGAGCTGCTGGCTTTGGGGGAGGTGGGTCAAGGCTCTGACCGGAACTCGAGAGGGTGGGCTACAGCTGTGCTGTCAGCCAGCTTACCCGACTCCCACACCCACCCTGCTGGGGGTTCATACTATGCTGGGGGAGGCTGGGGGGAGACATGGGTGGAGCAAGAGGAGCTAAGCAGGGTGTGGTCTGGGCTCAGGGGCCAGGCAGGGGACACACAAGAGGGGCTGTCCCAGGTCCACAGTCCAGGGAGGGAGGTGGCTGAGCTCAGCACGGGGATGACAACATCTGGTCATAGTCGGGGCACTTGAGCAGGGCGGGGTAGTTGCTATTCATCTGCAGGGAGGCGTCGCTCGAGATGTCAGAGGGGCTGCGGCCCCGGACCCAGGCGTCTGGGTGCAGGAACTGGCCCGAGTAGTCAGAACAATTGCTCAGACGTGGGCGGTAGAAGCCAGGGTGGGGCCTGTACATGTCCTCGGCCGTGTACCGCTTCATGAACAGGTACACGGACATCACCCCGGCGCTCTGTAGCGGGAGAAAGCAGAAAGGAGTGGGCTCACCACTGCGGCCTGGTCTTGCTCCCCCGCAGGTGACCGGGGCTTTGCAAAACTTAGCCCTGGGAGGGGTCCAGGAGGGGCGGTGGGTGGGAGCTGGGAGCCCAGGGGCATCCAGGGGAGAGAAGACGGAGGAAGGTGAAAGTGGCCCCTGAGGATGAAGGTGAGAAGCAGATGGAGTGTGGAACTCAGAGGGTCCCCTGACTCCCTCCTCCTACCCACCCGGATGGTGGTGCAGTATCCAGCCCACTCCCGGCCTGTCCCGGTACAACAGGAAGGACTTTACCTCGGTTAAAAGGAAGGAGATGGCAGCAAAGGCAAAAGACCAGCCATATTTGTAGTTGAAGTAGGTCTCCGAGTCCTTGGTCCTGTTGAGCATCTCGTCGTTGATGCTGGAGATATAGAGCACCAGGCCGACCACCAGAGAGAGGCCTGCGGGCGGGACAAGGGGCGCTCAGGAAACAGGAGGCTGGCAGGCACCCAGGAACAAGCCCTGCAGCCTTGTAACGACTTACTCATTTGGGGGTTCAAGGAAACCCTGGCTGGAGAGCCTGGCTGGGGCTGACAGCACTCTATCTGGGCTTTTTGTGGACAGCATGGGGAATCCTTGGATGGCGCCCACAGGCAGCGAGGACTTGCCTGCTAGCTGATAGGCAGCTCTGAAGAAAGGCCTGGTGGTCTCCTTCTGAAAGGCAGCCCCCGATAACGCCTTAGAGCACGTCTGTACTCTGACACACGTAGATTGACCATCTGTCACGGCCGATGCAATACGCTGACTGGTTCAGGTAGCAGAGCGGCAGGCGGGAGCCTCCCTGTCTAACCAGCTGCCTGAGCGAAGGAGCTTAGTGTGCTTCGTGTTGATTTACTAACTGAAAGTCAGCAATTTGATCCACCAGCTTCTCGCTGCCGGAGAAAGATGGGCAGTCTCCTCTCGTCCAGAGTTACAGCCTCAGAAACTGCTAAGAGAGTCACTTTGCGTCATTACAGGGTCACTGTGAGTGGATAGCGGGTCACTCTGCATCATTGGAGGGCCACTCTGAGTCACTGGAGGGTCACTATGGGTTGGAATTAACTGCTTGGCCAGGGAGAACCATGGCTAAGCACTGTGGTTAACCGCCCACTAGAATCACACGCAGAGCTTCTGAAATAGACCCTGTCTGAGCTCGATAAGGAAAAGAATTGTCTAAAAGAAACACATAATTAGGTATTATTAGCATGACAACAGCCCGGGATAAGAGGTGAATAGCAAAATGGACTGGAGGAGGGGTGGAGGGAGGGAGAAAATTGTGCAACCATGAAAGAATATTTTTTTTTAAAAAAAATTTTAATTGAAATTTTAATGGAAGTTTACAGAGACTTTGGATTTCCATTCATACATTGTTGCACATTTTCCTCCCTGTCCACCCCTCACCCTCAGTTTGCTTTTCTCTTTGAAAAGGAAAAAAAAAGAATTCTTTCATTGTTATATAATCCCCCCGCCTCCCTAAGTCCATTTTACTATGCAATGCAGCTCTTATTCTGGAAAGAATATTTTTAAAGAGAAAAGTGAACTGGGGCAGGGGCTAGGGAGGAAAATGTGCAATAATGAATGAATGGAAATCCAAGTGTTTTGTAAATTTTCATTAAAATATCAATTAAGGCGAGCTCTGGTGGCCTAGTGGCAGGAAACTGCACTGCAATCCCAGAGGTGCACGGTTCAAATCCACCAGATGCTCTGCGGAAGAAGGAGGAACAATTGCCTCCTGTACCAGTCAGATCCAATTTGATGGTACCCACATAAAATAAAAAAAAAATCAATTAAAAAAATGTAAAAACAAATTCGACCCTGGCCTGGGGCGGACACCGCATTTTATTGAAAGTCCCTCAGGTTATGTGATATATAAACTATATGGGTGAAGCCACATCAACCAGTGACTCTTCCGAGGAATGAGAGAGGTCCTCATACCTGAGTAGCTGGGGCACCAGCAGTCACGCCAGGGGACGCTGTTGTTGGATGTCACTGAGTCATTCCCAGCTCATCCTACAATAGACAGGACCACTGCCCAGCCCCACACTGTTTGTGCAGACTCTGCTGTGCTTCAACCCATGGCAGCCACTACTGTGTCAGCCCAGCTCCTTAAGGGAAGGTCATCCTCTATTTTCTGCTATTTACTTTATCTCAGTCTTTGATTCATCATGTCCTTCTCCAAGGCGTAGCCCTTCAAGACAACATGCCCAAAGTATGTGTGATGAAGTCTGGCCACCTTGCTTCTCACGGGCTGCTACCTGACACTTGTAGGCAGGAGAGGCCCTGTCCTTGGGGCCCAGTCTCCCCTTGCCCCTGAATAAATTCCTGCTTCGGGCCTCAGACTCCTTCAATTAGGAACTGTAATTGAATCAAGACATAATTAATGACTCGATTTTGCATTGTGCAGGTCTAATTCAACGCATTATTTTATGAAACTAGGGCATCTGGAGGAACAAATGTTAAAGGCACAGAGGTGCAATTCAAGCACTTAACTCATTTTGAACCATCGCTGCCCCAAATAAACCGTATCTAACGTTATCATTAGAACCGCTTCACCTGGTCCGGCTCCAGCTCAGCACCCCTGACCTCAAACTCAGTGCTGTGCGGCTATTACCCTAAAGCCTTGGCTATTGTGAAGTTCACAAAAGGAGGGACGATGAGTGAGCTTAATCCTGGACCTGCACCCCTCAGGCTCAGTGGAAATGTCCCCACGCTGGGAAGAGCTGGGCAGAGCCCAAGAAACATTTGTTGGATTGACTGAAGGCTCTGTTGAGTCTATGGCCAGTTGCCTCGTGAGCCTGCTTGCTTCTCTGGACTCCCCTTGGGATCCCTCAGCTGGGACACCTTCACCTGTCTCCCTAAATGCCTGAAGCAGCCTCTCACCTAGTTTCTCTTCCCCTCACCTTGCTCCCCTCTCCTTGCTCCCCTCTCCCTCCGTGATACAGAGTGGTCTTTCCAGAATGCACATTGGCTCCTGTCTTTCTTTAGTTTGTAATCCTTCCAGGTCTTGCCACAAAGTATCCAGATCCAAAAGACAGCCTTACGTGGGCGCCCTAGTGCCTCCTCTCATCACACCCTCCCCACTCTGCAGTTATAAAGGAGTGTGGATGAATGTTGGGTCTCTCCTCTAGAGCCTTTCCTCATCCCCAGATATGTCTTGAGGGGGAAAAAGTGCAGCCGGAACGCTCCTTGGAGCCAAGGATGGAGAAGCTTCATCTCACATACTTGGGGCATGTTGCCAGGAGAGGCTATTCCTTGGAGAGGGACATCATGCTAGGAAAGGTGGAGGGTCAGTTTAGGAGGAGGAGACCCTCAACAAGATGGATCGACATGGTGCCAGACGCAATGGGCCCAAGTGTGTGAGAAATGATGAGGATGGCACAGGATAGGATCCCAAGTTCTTGTGCAGAGGGTCACGACGAGTTGTATTCAACTTGATGGCACCTAACAACAGCCCTCAGTCTCACCCCTTGGTTTAATTCCCACCAGCCCTTGCTGTCACCTTCTCCTAGAAGCGCTCTCTGACCAAGCCCTGGTTGGGTTGCCAGTCATTGATTTTGATTCCCTTGGTGTGCACTTGCCTGCAGCCTTCCAGTTTCCTTGTTCGAATCTCTCCCACCTCACTGACATTTTGTGCACAGTGACCCTGGTATCCAAAATGAGACATGGTACCTATTCTTGAATAAATGCTTAAATTCAATGAGTGCTACTCAAGGACCAAGTGGACTAACCCTTAGGGGTCCCAGGTGTGGCATGTAGTGTAAAGTGAAAGCAATGTAGGAACTTCTGATTCGGGATCATCTTGCAGAGGTAGGACTTGTCTTTTTTTTTTTTTTTAATGATATATTTTTTGTAGTCCTTGACCCCCTGCTGCAGAGGGTCAAGGACTGCAGCCTCCAATATGGATTGAGGCTCAATGTCAAGAAGACAAAGATTCTCACCACTGGACCAATTGGCAGCATCAGGATGGATGATGAAGAGATTGAGATTGTACACAGCTTAAGTTTGCTTGGCTCCACAATCAACACTCTTGGCACCAGTAGCTAGGAAATGAAAAGGCGCATTGCCATGGGAAAGTCTGCTGTTAGGGACCTCTCCAAAGTACTGAAGAGCAATGGTGTCTCTCTGGAGACTAAGGTGTGTTTGATACAGGCCATGGTCTTCACAATCACTTGTTATGCATCAGAGAGTTGGACAATGACCGAGGAGGACAGAAGGAGAATTGATGCCTTTGAGCTGTGGTGCTGGAGAAGAGTATCGAGAATACCAAGGACTGCTAGGAAAACAAACAGATTCGTCCTGGAAAGGGTTAAACCGGATGGCTCCTTGGAGGCAAGGATTCTGAGGCTCCGTCTAACATACTTTGGACATGTGAGGAGAGACCAGTCCTTGGAGAGGGACATCATGCTTGGGAGGGTGGAGGGACAGCGCAGGAGGGGAAGGCCCTCTATGAGGTGGATTGATTCAGTGACTGGAATAATCGGGATGGGAGTGTCAGAGACAGTGAGATTGGCACAGGACAGAGCAGAGTATAGGGCTGTTGTACACAGGGTCGCTATGAGTCGCAAGCGACTCAATGGCACATAACAACAACAACAACAACATATTTTTTGTTATTAATTGTAATGAATGTTTACAGAGACCTTGGATTTCCATTCATTCATTCATTGTTGCATTTTTATCCCTGCCCATCCTTCCCCCAGAACTTGTATTTAGGTTGTGTTTTGCCATTCTGGATATACAATACTTTGGCAAAACACAACTTGTAGGACTTGTATTTTAGTTGCGTTTTGCCATCCTGAATATGCAATACTTTCCACTTAGCAAGCAAGTACAGAAGGATAGCTAGTGGTGTAGTGGTTAAGCAGCTCGGAGGCTAACAAAAAGGTTGGCGGTTTGAACCCCCCAGTCCCTCTGTGGAAGACAGATGTGGCAATGGGTTTCCACAAAGATTTAAACCTTGGAAACATTATAGAGCAGTTCTCCTCTCTCCTACAGGATCACGACGAGTCAGCATCAACTCAGCAACAAAGGATTTGGCTTTTTAAACTGGTAGCTACAAGTGACTTTGATTTTGGAGGCTTGCTTCCCTCCCTGAGGGTAACCGAGGGCTGGGAAGCACAGGGGTCACTATTGCACAGATAGATTCATTCACCCTTTTCATGCAAGAACACTAACACTTAGCCCCTTCAAAAATAGGCATTCTCATCATTAGTGAGAATTAAAAAGTGGTGGTGTTGACAGGAAATAGCTCTGGGTTCCAGCCCCAGCTCCGCCCCACCATCTGGCTTGTCAAGGCCCTGCTAGCTCAGAGCTGCCTTCCCTCTTCCATAAGATAAGTGCTGGGCCTGGGGCACTGGGAATCTGACTCAGTTCTGCCTGGGCCATTGACTCAGCTTCTGTTTTCCAGCGCCAGGGGCTGATCCATGGCTGTGACCAGGGCTTCCCAAAGCCAAGCTGATTAGGAGTCAAATATCAAAAGTTCAGAGTGCAGTAAAAAGAAAAAAACTTACCCGAGAGGATGAAGAAGATGCCGGAGACAAAGGCCAGTATTGTCCTGTGGGGACGGATGTGTCCAATGTTGCTCAAGATAAACCCAATGAACATGAAGAGAAGGCTGACCAGAGGGAACGGCGTGGCAGAGCGAATCATCTCTAATTAAGGGGACGGGAGAGTTCCCTGTCAGCCTCCAGTGCCCTCACTGGCTGCCTGCCCTCCCACATGATAGGTTCCTGGTGACATGCAACACCCCTGGCAGTGGTCATGCAAGGTCCCCAAATCCCTCAGTCCTACAGGAGTCCCCCAGCCTCCCTTCCTCTCCCTTCAGGAGGCCCCAGGACTTCCGAAAGCTGGCAGGGCTTGCTTCTCTGAAGTTGGGTTGCAAGGGCTGACTTTAAATACTAACACTGTCAGGTTAGAATGCTTCCCTCCTTCAGAGCCCAAACTGCCAGTCCATACGGCAGCCATAAACCTCGACAGCCAACTCTTTGATATTTCTTTCTCCATCAGGGACTGTTCCTAGTGTACAGAGGAGGGTCACTTGCCTTTATCTTCTTTACCTTTGAATTAGATGTAGAGCAAGCAGGGTAGTCTGGGTGTGTGTGTCAGAACTCATATTTGGGAAGCCAAGGTCATGGAGTGAGATGCCCTTTCACTTGCCTTGAACACAAGACTTGGGATTCTCCAGTGACCCATCTTGACTATTGAGAAAATAACCTTGGAGCCAGCCCAGGGCAACCAGCTACATCCTCAGCTTAGCTCTTGGGGAACCAGCCAGTCACTCTGTTCTCTCCACCTTGCTACTTTCTTTGCAGTCACTGGCCCCAGTGGAAAGTTCAGAGCACCTACTTAGCACGTTGACTGTGGACTCCGACGTCAGCTGGGTGTTCATGGGCATCACATATTCTATGGTGAAGCAGCGACCTCGCTCCTCACCTACAGAGACAAGAAGGCATTGACATTTCCAAATCCTGCCTGAATATGAATGTGACATTGTACATTCAACTGATGTTTTCAAATGTTTCTAGGATATTCATTTTTACTATATATTTGCATAGAGGCTTATGTCAAACTCTAAGAAGATCCAAACAAGCCCACAGCAGGGCTAAGAGCATGTCTTAGGTCTTTCCTGGAGAAGAAGCACCTTTGTGAAAATAGACCCCAAAAGCCAATGATAATTAAAGTTTTGTTGGTCACCATATTGCTTTAGGGGAAGACTGGGCCAACAGCATAGTATGCTTAACTCAGATGTCATGGAGCAGAAGCTCAAAAACCTTGTCAACTCCCTTGGAAGCCAGATCCTGGGTGACCCCAAACACTGCTTCAGTCTAAGGACACAGCAGGACCACATGGTCTGGGGCTGTGGGAGGGGAGGTCAATGTTGAAGACTGTTTCAAAACCTCACTCAGCAAGTGTCCCAGAGGCGAGGCCTAGAGGTTTTCTCCCAGCTACATACTGGCTAGTTTAAGGGACCAAGCTGTGGGTCAATTCTACCTTCCACCCCTCAAGGCCAGACCATAAAAGTGGGAGGAAAAGGGCTGGGAAAAACAAGTTGTCCCTCTACCACCAAAGGCTTGGTGACCACACTGTAGCAGTTTGGGCTAGTTCAGCCTCTGGCTTATCTCTCACAGCTCAGGGAGGCTGGTCACATTTGGGTTGGTTCTGGACCAAGATAAGAGATACCATGGCGCCCCCAGAGAAGCTACCACGGGGCTTCCAGGGAGGTCCGAGTAGGCTTGGGATGCAAACCTGAAGCGCTTTGCAGAATTGAAAGACCCTGCAGTTGAGTTTCATCTCTGCCACTTGGTGGACACAGTAACAGAGAAATAGTTACGAATTTTCATTCTGAAAACTAGTGGATGTGAGAAGACTTCCTAAACATCCCCAAATCTCCACACATACCCTCTTGCGTAACATGTAAATAAGTCCTGCCTCAATATATTGTTGGAGGGTTAAATGAGATCAATAATTCAATGAGCTGTGTCAGAATTAGTGAGACTGGCTCAGGACAGGGAAGGGTTCTGAGCTGCTGTACATCGGGTCACTATGCATCGCAGGCCACTCAGCCAATAACATTCTATGACAGGTTTGGAAGCAGGGGTGGCTTCCACCTCCCAAACAACATGCCTTCATAAACTCTGTGAACTTTGATAAATGTCGATAGTTCCAGAAGGTCTTCAGGCCTTTTATTCATAGGGTTGTTATGAGTTGTGCTTAACTAGAAGGCAATACACACACACACACACACACACACACACACCACACACACACACACACCCTCTGCGTGTGCAGTGTATTAGCCCATCAAACCCATCATCACTGAACGAATTCCAACTCCTAGTGACCCTTCACTGGGCTTCCAAGTCTGTAAATTTTTACTGGACAGAGACTATCCATTGTAATCACACAGAGCAGCTAGTGTCTTCAAACTGCCAACCTTTGGATTATCAGCGCCGCACATAATGCATTGTGCCAGCAGAGCTCCTGAGACCTCAGTGAGATGGACTTGACCCCGTGATCACTGCATGGCAGAGATCGTGACGATGACATGGATGGGACAAGGTTTCCGTCTGTTGTTCTGAGTTGCTGTGAGTTGGTGCTCACTCAATGACACCTAGCAGCAACGTGTGTGTGGATGCTGCCACACCTGTGCAATGCCACTCTCCACACAGCCCGGAGAGGTGGTGCATGGAGAAGGCACTTACATGCAGGTTTCAGGTGGAAAACCCACAGGCCAGGGCAGCACTTGAAAATGGCCCAGCATCCTGATCGACTGGGAGAGAGCTTTGCCCAGGGCTTATGGGGTCTGCTCTGAGATGAGCTGGCTGTCTCCTTTCAGAAGGGGTTGTACTTCCCAAGGGGCTCAGAGTGCAGGTTTTGGGGGTTGGGTGTCTGCTTCCCACTCTCTTGGGCAGGGTTGACCCCCACTCCATCCCACTCCTGTCCTGGCCTGACGCCCTCACCTGCGAGGAAGCAGACGCGCCAGAGGCCCGAGTGAAGGCTCATCTTGATCTCTGTGCTCTGGTTCTGGGGCAGGACCACGCCCTCCTCCAGGTACAGCCAGTAGTCGGTGCTGACAGCGATGCCCAGGAGGCCCAGGCCACACACCGCGAAGACGCTGCTCAGTAGGGTCAGGGCCTTCTTCCCGCAGCCACTCATCCTCCCAGAGGCCGGGGCCGGCCTGCAGCCGCTGTCCAGTCCCAACTGCAGGGAGAGGGGTCTGGGAGGCAGAGGAGAAGGTCAGCAGAGGGCGTGCTGGCCTCTAAGGGGGCCGAGGGACTGTCATAGAAGGGTCACTGGCATCAGCGATGACAGCTAAGATGTCTGTCGTGATCTGCTAAGTCCCCTCACTTGCATTTGAGGTTTGCAAACCACGACATCTGTCAGAAGAAATGGAATGAGAGCCCCAAGGGTGAGGAGGAGGGAAAAGGGAAGGAGAGAGCCGAGGGGTGAGACGCAGAATGGAAACTCCCTGTGTATACGAAACTGACTGTGAGGCAGGAAGCCTGGGTTTCACCCTCAGCCCTGTCACCGAGTGACCCTGTAATGTTGGAAAAGTGACCTCCCTGAGGGCCATTTTAGACTAGGTCCTGCAGTGTTTAAACATTTAGCTACAAGCCAGCAGGTCAACAGTTCAAAGCCACCACCTGCTCCTCAGGAGTAAGACGAGGCTTCTATGAAGACTTAAGCCGTGGAATCCCCATGGGGCAGTTCCACCCTGTCCTAAAGGGTCACTCGCTGTGAGCTGTGGTCAGGCTGACGCCAAGGAGTAGGGTTCGGAGGGTCAGTTCTATCCTGGGTAATACAGATTGTGTTGTTGTTGTTATTGTAATGTATTGTTGAGTTGGAACCAACTCAGGGTTGACCCTCCAGTGGGTTTTCAAAGGCAGGAAATTGCACGGGAGGAGATTGCCCATCTTTCTCTGGTGGAGCAGCTAATGGATTCAAACCGTGCACCTTTGGCTTGGCAGTGCAACTCCTTACCACTAAGCCACTGTGAGGCATTTTGCTAAGTACTTCATTATCTCTCTTAATTCTTGGATCACTGTTCTCCTATCTATTTTACAGATGAGGAAGCAGGATCAGAGTGGTAAAGACACTCACTCAAGGTCAGTCAGCTAGCAAGGGGCAGTGCCTGGATTTGAACCTCGTTCTCCCTCATCCACCCCAGAGCCCTTTCTCTTGTCACTTCATGAGTGCTTTCCAACATGGGTTCCATGGATTATCCCATGATATTATCCCAGAAAAGGAGTACTATCTGGTGCAAATAGCCTGAGGAACTAACTTAGTTCTTGAAGAGGCATATTGTACACTATGTTAAAGACCCCAAGAAGCCTCGTTCCTTTTCCTGAACCCCCCAGGTTTTCCAAACCCACTTGATGATCGAATGGAGTCACTTTCTTTTCTGTGATGCCCATGCTGAGAAGCACACTCCCCTCCAAGGGAATAACAACGCCTGCCCTGCCTGCTCCATGAGACAGATGCCAGGTCATCGCAACCGCATGGAGAAATATGCTTGGAAAAATTAAACGTGTGAGCAGGCCCTAAAGTGTTATTATCAAGTGACAATAGACTAAGCTCTCAGGCACCCAGAGATCAGAGATTCTGAAATACAGCCGCGACTTGCCTGGCCACAGTTGAGCTGCCAATTTTGATGTTAAGCTTGGCGGAGAGACAGAAAGATTAGGGTCTTGGAGATTTGGAGAGATGTGAGTGGAGAGGAGATTGGACTTCGCCTCTGTAAAAGTGAGGAAATAACAGAAATGACTGAAGGTGACCTTGAAGTATGGAGTGAGATTTGGGGCTGAGAAGTCTCGTGTCTTTTCGGAGCTCAACATAAATTTCTCGGAACACCATACACGGGGAAAGTAACAAAAGCATTCATTATTTCATGGTATTTTTTTTTCTGCTATTTAATCACAGTTACTTGTCTGAACAGAACAAGGGAACACTGCGTGGCTTAAAATTAGGACAGGTGTGTGTCAGGATTGTATCCTTTCTCCATACCTGTTCAGTCTGTATGCTGAGCAAATTGGCCAAGGATCTTGATTATATAATGAAGAATGTGGCAGAGACATATTTACTTTTAAGCAGATAATAATAATAATAATAATAATAATAATAATAATAATAATAATAATAATAATAAAATGATGATGATGATGATAAGGAGGGGGAGGAGTACCCTGTCTGCTGAAACTGAGGAAGACAAGAAGCACTTGCTGTGGAAGGTCAGGGACTGCAGCCTTCAGTATGGATTGAGGCTCAATCTCAAGAAAACAAAGATTCTAACCACTGGGCTGACTGGCAGCATCATGATGCATGGTGAAGAGACTGAGATTGTTCACTGTTTTAGTTTGCTTGGCTCTACAATCAATACTCTTGGTACCAGCAGCCAGGAAATTAAAAGAAGTATGGTGATGGGAAAGTCTGCTGTTAGGGACCTCTCTAAAGTACTGAGGAGCAACAATGTCAGTCTGGAGACTAAGGTGTGCCTGATATAAGCCATGGTCTTTGCAATCACTTGCTATGCATCAGAGAGCCGGACAATGACTAGGGATGGTAGAAGGCGAATTGATGCCTTTGAGTTGTGGTGTTGGAGAAGAGTATTGAATATACCATGGACTGCTAAGAAACAAACAGGTTTGTCCTGGAGAAGGTAAAGCCAGGCTGCTCCTTGGAAGCAAGGATTCTGAAGCTTCATCTGACATACTTTGGACATGTTGCAAGGAGGGACCAGTCCTTGGAGAGGGTCATCATGCTTAGGAGGGTGGAGGGACAGCACAGGAGAGGAATACCCTTGATGAGATTCAGTGACTGGAGTAAAGGGAGTAGGAGTGTCAGAGACAGTGAGATTAGCACAGGATAGGTCAGGGCTTAGGGCTGTTGTACACAGGATTGCTATGAGTCGCAGATGACTCGATGGCACATAACAACAACAACAACAACAACAACCTAAATAAGCAATACTACATAACAGAACAAGATATAACAATATCAAATAATATGGACTGAGTATTATCTGCCAAACGTGTGTAAAGTTTTGTGTACAATCTTGCACCAAAATCTCACAACAGCCTATGAGAAGGTGGTTATCAGCCCCATTTTCCAGACTGAGAAACTGAGGTTTATATAACTGATGTCATATAAGGCTTAAGCTCACTCTTGAGGGTTCTGTGGTTTTAGGACCTGTTAGGATATCAGAGCTAATGTTTTTCTCCAGCCTCACCACACACAACAAAATCAAGTCCAGAGTGGAGAGGGGCCTGAGATCACCCAGCCAGTGATGTGGAGGAGCAAAATGTGAGCTAGAAATCTTTTAAATGCTGGACCAATGCTTTTCCTCCCACCTCTGTACTGCCCACAGAAGTAAAAAGATGCATTGCATTGGGAAAAAATCTGCTGTCAGGGTGCTAAAGAGCAAGGATGTCAGTTTAAAGACTAAGATGCGCCTGATCCAAGCCATGGGTTCTTTTTCCAATTGTTTCATATGCACGAGGAATAAGGATGGCAGAATAAGAATGGTTGTCTTTGAGTTGTGGTGTTGGAGCAAAGTTCTGACTCTCCCATGGACTGACAAAAGAACAAACAGATTTGTCTTGGAGGGAGTGCAACCAAAGCGGTCTTTAGAGGCAAGAACACTTTATCTTACATACTTTGGGGCATGTTGTCAGGAAGGGCTGGTCCTTGGAAAAGGACATCATGCAGGGAAAGGTGGATGGTTGGGGAAAGAGGGAAAGGCCCTCAACAGGATGGATTGACTCAGAGACTGTAACAACGGACTTGACCATATGAAAGATGCAGAGGACGGCGCAGGAGGGGGCAAGCTTCAGACCGGTTTTTGACAGGGTTGCTATAAGCCGTGGCATCTAACAACAACAATGACAACCACAACAACTGTACGTAGCAAATGGTACCATAGAAACTATTTCTAATGGTATCGTAGAATGTAACTATTTCTCACAAGTCCCCTCTCTAAAACTGAAATCAGCAGCAGCCTGTTAATTTCCTTCTCGTCTTTCTTTTCTCTAGGTAAGTGTGTTTATGTGGATACAGTCCCCTCCTCCCCAATATCTCCAGTTGTTGCAAGGTAGATTAAAAAAAAAAAAGTCAAAAAAGACGTCAATCTGGAATGAATCCCTAGTCCCCACAAAGAGGCTCTTTGAGTCTCTGCTTTTGCGTCTAGTTCCCATGACTCCCATCCCTCTCCTAGTCTGCTTCCTCCAACTTTTCCAATGGGGAGGAAGAAATTTTTTATACGCGGCCACCACAAAGGCATTACAGTTGTTCACGCTCTAATGCTAACCGAATAACGCTGGATGTAAAACCATATATTTAACACAAACTCCAGTGTGTAAAAAATTCATTGCCTGGACGAGATAAGCCAGAATGCTATTGGTAGATGCTCCCAGATAATAGGGTTATGTATATTTTATTTTCTTGATCCTTTTCAGTGCTCGACAAAGCTTCTAAAGGCACGCATATTATTTCTATAACCAGAGAAGAAATCTAAATTAAAGCAAGCTGGCCGGTCTCCAATCACTGCCCTCGGCCACATGAACACAGGGGCCCCAGAGGACTCCTGGGCCAGAAAGGCTAAAAATGCAACATCACCCTTTCAAGATGGAGCCTCCAAGCAGTAGAGAAGTGTGGAGCCTTTTAACATGATTACCCGGGTGCCATTACCTCTAAGTATTAGCTTGTTAATTATCAGAAATTAACAGGCACTAATTATCAGCCACGACTAGCAATTAGAGAGAAATGTCTTGTGGAGATTAAATCACTAATGGCACATGACCCTGCCCAAGCTAATAGTAAAAGGGCTTGCCACGGTGTGCTAAGGTGAGCAGAGAAAGGTGAGGCTGTGGCGAGAGGGAGAGCCCCGGCGGGCGCACTACTGCAGGAAGAGGCCAGGGTTTTGTTTGAGAGAGACAGATGGGCAGTTGCATGCAGACGCAATGCTCACAGTTTCCATGGCAGGCCAGAGCATCCTCTGCAGTTGTTTGATGATGGGCTTAAGGAACGAGGTTCCTGACAGCCCTTTCATGCCAGTTACACAGCTGCTTCTGTGAGTGGGACCAGTGACTCAACATTCAGCTTGGTCAGTGCTCTGGAAAAGAGACTGGTGACAGGACAACAGCTGGTGGCCCTGGATCCCTGTGCC